AAGGACACACTTCCTGTAATAACAATAATGACAACAACTAATGAACAGAGAATCGATCAGAGTGATCGATCACACTTCCATTGTACGGACCAATCGGGACACCAGCATATTCACAGATGTGTCTGAGAATCGAACCTGAGATCACACCACAGAGTTGCCAGATAATTATTGTATTAGTATGAGAATTCTACCCTCCATGACAAAATTCCCAGAATGTCTGATTATTTCATCATAATAATCGATATAGTAAAACATGGACGTCTGTTTACGCTTGCTATGATGTAGGACTGGGCCGATAATCAATAAATCAATTAATCGCACGATAAATTAAAATGAACTCGATCATTTTGCCGGCCTCGATATATCGCCATGTGCATGCGTGTTTGTTTTCCTCGTCTCTCGCCTCCAAGCTGGATGACAAGAGGGTTCACTCTGTGCTCGGTCTCAGCACCTGGGGGCGTTTGTTGCGGAATGAACRGAGTGAACCCTCTTGTCAGTCATCCAGCCTCTTTGTCTCTGTGGGGGGAGTCGGGGCCGCTAGCATTAGCTCCACACAGAGTGCAGTGAGTGAGCGTCGTGCGGAGCAAAGCGAGGAGAAAAGATGATTGCAAAGTCAAACGCCACAGCCCCGGTGTGGGAATGTTTCGGCTCCAAACCGAATGAGCAAGGTGAGCCCATCAACACGGACGAGCCAGTTCAAAAGTGGTGGCAACGAAAAAAGGCAACACAACAAACTTGCATGCCCACCTGAAGCATCACCACCAGACCCAGTGCTCCCAGCTGGGGAGTGCAGCTCGAGATGCAGGGCCTTCGTCCCGACAGTCAACACTCACTCAGGCGTTCGGTCGACAAAGTAAATATAAATGGAACAGCGCAAAATGGTGTGCGCTCACAGAAAGTGAAGTTCACTACATCGCTAAAGGTAAAAAACACTGAGAAATAAAAGTTTATTGTCTTTGAAAGGGTGTGCATTATTATTATAAATTATCATGTTGACAATAATATCGTTTATCGGCGATAATTCGTGTGACAATATATCGTCCAGCAAAATTTGTTATCGTCCCAGGCCTACTATGATGTTGTACGTAAATATGGACCATGCATCCATTTTCTATGCATCTCTTTTAACGTGACGTCTTTCCAGCCAATCAGGTTTGGAGGATGTGAGACACAGGCTGCGTACAAATTCAGGAGCTGCCTCCCTCTGATGAAGCATTGACTAGAAAGGCCAAATAAAAAGGAGACGGTCTGTGTTACAGACGAGTTCCTTCATCAGTGTCACCAGCTCATCCCGTCTGCTCTGTTGCCTAGCTACATTGTGTGTGTTTATGGTTTTAAATATCGGTTATCTGTCTCCTTGATTACTAATAATCAGTCGACCTCTAGTACTTACATTTCAAAATAAATTCTTCTTCCTCTTCTTGCATTTTTTTCCTTTTATACCTCTTTGAAAATAATAACTTACGCGCAATGAGTCATGGGATATGATGGACCGGGAAGGATCCATTTGATGGAGCCTTCAATTGGTACGGTCCAGTCGCTGTGACCGTAACAGTCTTTATAAGCGGCCTCTGAAGGAGTCAGCTCGTTTGTTTACGTCTTTCATGTGGTTCAGTTTGTTTGTTTTTTAAATATGACGCATGTACGATGATTTTAATCGTCATTTCCTGTCTAGTAACGCTGTCACGTGATCATCGTTTCCGGACCTTTAACAAATCAATAATCAATCAGATGAGAGGCTGATCATTAGAATAATGTCTTAGATCGGGTTCATTAACATTTCTGGACATTAACTGTTTCTTCGGCTTCAGTTGGAACATGTTGCAACACATGTAAAACCTCACGTCAACATATCGCTGATCACATGATCAGTTTGACGCCAACAACGTGTCGTCTGTTTGCAGCGCTACGTTAGCCATTAGCTCAGTTAGCTGTGTGTGTGTTTTAGACGTTACCTCGGTAAGCTGTGTGTGTGTGTGTGTGTTATCTCTGTGTGTATGTTAGCTCAGTTAGCTGTATTAGCTCAGTTAGGTGTGTGTGTGTATGTTAGCTCAGTTAGCTCTGTGTGTTTTGGATGTTATCTCAGTTAGCTCTGTGTGTTAGCTCAGTTAGCTGTAATAGCTCAGTTAGCTCTGTGTGTTAGCTCTGTGTGTTAGCTCAGTTAGCTCTGTGTGTTAGCTCAGTTAGCTCTGTGTGTTAGCTCTGTGTGTTAGCTCTGTGTGTTAGCTCAGTTAGCCGTGTTAAGGTGAATTAAAGGTGAATTAAAGGTGAATCTACCGTCTCTCGATGACTTCTTCCAAACAGCAGTTGAAACTCAGAGTCGCGTCATCAATCTACACCGGAAACACTGAGCAGCTGCTTTCCCTTAGCTTCCGATAAACTTCCGGTCACAGTAGCACCACCACCTGTAGGCCGTAACATCTCCGGTCGACTCCAATAGTAATAATAATCGTTATAACAACAATCGTAATAATAAAAGCAATAGTAATAATAACCGTAATAATGCTAGTGATAGCAGCTGTCTGTGGACGCCACATTTAAAACATTCCCTGTTTGGGGCTCGTCTTGATTTTGCCTCCATTGAACCTGATGTGACTTTGATTTGCATCAAAGCAGAGAAACTGATTCACAATCACTTGTTCTTCACTTTGATCTCTGAAGTTTAACTTTACACTGAACATTAAGGTTCCCTCACTTTACTGAGCTGTTTAGATGTAACTGAGCAGTTTATGTGTATATCAACTCCCTGCACCTGTCACCGGGGCTGGCA